CAGGGCGTGAGAGCCAACAGACAGCAGGTCTAAGTCCTGCTCTGCCTCCTGCTAGCTGTGAAGCTTCCATTCCTCTTTCACAGGGTGTTTGCCTCTCATCTACAAACTGAGGGTGGTATGCCTACCTCCAGACCTGTGTTTCTGAACTGAGGGACACTCCCCCTGCCTGATGTACAGTGACATTTGGCTATGTCTGGAGACATTTTTGGTTATCACAGCTGGGTTGGGGGTGCTGATGGCACCTAGTAGGTAGAGGCTAGGGATGCAGCTCAGCATCCCACATTGCCCAAGACAGTGCCCTACAACAAAGAATTATTCGGGCCAATGTGTCAGTTGTGCTGAAATTGAGAAACCCTGGGGTGAAAAACTTAGTAAGATCATGTTTATAAAAGGCTCAGCTTAAGAGATAAAAATGAAGGCTATGATCCTCCTCCTCTTTCTCCTCCTCCTCCTCTTCCCATCAAAGTGATTAGGCCAGGCACAGTGGCGTGCACCTGTAGTCCCAGCTACTTGGAAGGCTGAGGCTGGAGGATTGCTTGAGCCTGGGATTTGGAGACTGCAGTGAGCTATGATCGTGCCACTACACTTCAGCCTGGGAGACAGAGTGAGACTGACTCTTTAAAAAAAAGATGGAGGGGGAAAAGAAAGAGGGATTAAATAGACAGTGGGTAGGTTCCTGCTCTTCTTCCCCATGCTTTCCTCTTGCCATGGCTGGGGACTAGCGAGGAGAAGGAAGTGTGACTGTCCCACTGCGGCATTCCCCCTGCTCAGAGCCCAGGAGGAAGGGAAACCACTTGCGGCTTTTTATAAAGAGAGTCTGCCAGCTGCAAGCCAAGTTCTGGTACGCAGCTTCCGGGCACCGGCTTCTGGAATGCTTTCTGGCTCTCTCTGCAGACCCAGCCTCCCGCAGCTCCTTGGCTAACCTGGCAGGAACCTCAGCCCAGGCCCAGGAGGCTGTAGCCAACTCCAGTCCCCTGATGGGCTGCCACCCCACCTCCGCAGCTGCTGGTGGGATTTGGTTCAGCCCTTGGTCACGACCCTTCAATAGACTGACTTCTTTAAAATTCACGAAGCTTTTTCTTTACAATTATGTCTATGCCCATCCTGTGTGCAGGCACTGAAGGAGGAGGAAACACTAGGAATGAAAGGTTAAGGGACAGAAAAGGAACCTCCAGTCCCCCTGCATAAGCTGTCTCTCTGTGTTGTCCTTGGACTTGAGTCTTCCTGTGGCCTGTGACTAATGCTCACACCCCTGAAATTTCCCAGGACAGAAAAGACCGAATCACGCAATCCCAGAAGAAAAACACCAACAAAACCACTGTTCTCTACCAATGTGCATGGGACAGCTCCAGACAGTTCTCTAAGCCATTCCCATCAGCCCAGGGTTCACAATCCAGTCCTCAGCTGGATTTCAAAGGTGGGGACAGGCTGGGTTCATGCCTGTAATCCCACTTTGGGAAGCCAAGGTGGAAGGATCACTAGAGGTCAGGAGTTCCAGACCAGCCTGGGCAACATAGCGAGACCCTGTCTCTACAAAAAAAAAGAAAAAAAGAAAAAACAAAAATTAGCCAAGCTTGGTGTTACACGTCTACAGTCCCAACTGCTTGCTTGAGGATGGGCGGATCACTTGAGCCCAGGAGTTCAAGGCTGCTGTGAGCAACGATGGTGCCACTCCAGCCTAGGTGACAGAGAAAGACTCTGTCAAAAGAAAAAAAAAGGAGGGGGGGAGGGGAGCGGACAGACCACACTCAAATTCCTCAAAAGGAGAATTGCTACTTTCCATTTGCTTAGCTACAGTAGAAAAAGTCTAATCACATAACTTTCCCCGGGGCTGCGGAAGACTTCTCCTTTGAGGCAATTCCTCACAATAACACTGTAATCGAAACAAAGCCTGGCTCTTCTCACGCGGAGCGTTATTTTCTCCTGGAGAACCACAACTGGGTTTGCAAGGATGGAGCCAGGCCCCTACCCATAACATGCTTTCCTTGCCTGCCTGGGATTGAACTTTTTTTTTTTTTTTTTTTTCCACAAGAGAGCCATAAACACATAGATACCAAAGAGTTAATTTGCGTTTTTTAAACCTCCTTCCCAAAGCCTGCTCTCATTCCTGCATAAAATCCCCATGTCCAGACATCAAATCAGTAAGCCCTGTTGCCTGTCAGAGAATACAATGTCAGACCATTAGTATGTTAATAAGTCCGGAGGGCGACAGGTGGCCTACTAGACAGCTCAATTAAGCTGCTCATTAAACACACGCTAACGAACAGCCGAGGCAGGGCCTGAACAGCACCATTCTGTAATGACATGATGTCAGAGTGAACAAATGAGGAAAAATAACAAAAACATTACAGCAGGGACAGACGCCACTAATAAGGACCCCTCGCACTACATCAGCCCGCAAATCAATGAGTCACCGGGATCAAAAAACTCGACCCAACATTCTCAGGGGACTGAGTGCAGCAAGATTTTTTTGGTCACTACTAAAAAAAAAAAAAAAAAAAAAAAAAGCCCAACCCCAACCCTAAAATTATCGCAAAATATCGCAAATCAACTGCTTTTAAAAAATGAAAAAGAGCAAAGTTTATTTGACACAGAGCTAATCACGAAGTCCGAGAAATCTGTATTGCTGGGTTTAAATGAAAATCATTATTTAATGGGATCATCATTTACATTTGATTGGCATCCTCTTTTTATAGGCCCACAGGTTTGAACCATTTCTCTGCTCTGGTACCCAGGAAGCAGAGCACAGTGGAACAGAAGGAGCACGTAGCCAGATTTCTTAGGTGAAGATTCTGCTTGTCATTATTTTAAGAGAAGGGACTTCCAGCAGCTGCTAGAGGTTTCTCTCATTTTCAAGTAAAGCGCTTCCTGAATAATAAAAAATCAAACCTCCGCCAGTCATGGCTCTGACATTGGAGACATATATTGCTAAACTAATAGGCTGGCTGGCCATTAGGAGATCACGACCTTGGCTCTTATCTTTTGTCAAGTTAACAGCTGACACCTCCTCTGCATGTAGACTTTCTTCCAGGCCTAAGGTAGGTGCTGCTCCTCTAGCTAGGCTGGTGAGCTGAAGGCAGGCAGGAAACCAGTGCAGTTGGGCGTAAGGAGCTGACGCAGAGTCCCTCAGAAGCATGATTCTTCCCATGTTGGTTGAACTTTATCTGCACAAATCTATAGTCCAAATCTATGAGTGAGGCAGGTAAGACTGTCACCTGAGTGACCCTGAGCAGGTCACCTTAATCCCTGACTCTGTTTCCTTATTCATATTATTTTTATTTTTAGACACAGTCTCTCTCTGTTGCCCAGGCAGGAGTGCTGTGGTGTGATCACGGCTCACTGTAACTTCAGACTTCTGGGCTCAAGTGATCCTTTGGCCTCAGCCACTGGAGTAGCTGGGACCACAGGCATGTGCTGCCATGGCTGGTTAATTTTTAGAATTTTATTTGTAGAGATGGGGTCTTGCTATGTGGCCCAGGCTGGTCTTGAACTTTTGGGCTCATGTGCTCCTCCTGCCTCTGCCTCCCAAAGTGCTGGGATTACAGGCTTGAGCCACTGCACTCAGCTCTTTATTTATAAAATGTGATTGGACTGGGTATGCGCCTTGCCTTTTCCATTCTAGAAAGGACTTCAGCACAAAATAAGAGTAAAATCCGCATGGAATTTGCCATCTGTTTGAAAAGAAAAACTAGTGGCTGAAAACAGTACAAAGAATTCAAGAACGCAGTATAGTGTGTTACCTAGAAACATAAGAAGAATTTAAAAACAGGAGACATCGAGGGTTTGTAAGGGCTCCAGGCCAATTCCCTGAAATCAGCTGGGCCTGAGTGGGTGGAGCAGATGCAGGGAGAGGGCGGAGCTTCTGCCGACCTTGCAGTGTGAGTAGGATGGAAGGGCAGGAGGATGTCCAAGCGACACAGGAAGGTATGAGCATGGGGTGTGCATGAGTCTGGATGGGGGCAACCTGTGATCAGAACTGCTACATGGAGGCAAGCTGGGGGGTGCAAAGCCGGAGGAGACAGATGTGCAGGGGCAGAGGCGAGAGGCATTTGGTGAGTCCAGGGGCCACAGCAATCTGGCTTTTTATCTCAGTGACTCTACGTCTATCTTCAGGCTGGTGGATGTGAGAGCATGCCATCACTCAACAGACATTTACTGAGGTTCCCTCTTTGCTTGAGGAACTGTGGGGAATACAAAAATCAGAATATTCTGGACCTGCCCTCAGGGAGTTTATAATCGAGTCATTCCTTCAACTAATATTTCTTCAAGGACTTCTCTTTGCCAGGCTCTGCTGAGAATAATGGTAAATAATGATTTCTTGGTCCCAGCCCTCATGAGTTTATAGTCAAGTGGAAGAGACAGACATATTATTTGACTAACTCCATTTCAAGTCAGACTGTGATGAATATTGTGACTGAGGTGGGAACAGAGACTTGGAGGAACACAGATAAGGGTGTGCTTGTCTGTCTGTGAGAATCACAGAAGCCTCCGGGCACCTTCAAGGGCTCTAGAGCAGCACTGTCCAGTAGAATTTGCTGGAATGACAGAAATGTTCTGTACCTGCATTGTCCAGTGTGGTAGCCACGTCGGCTACTGAGCAGTTGAGATGTGGCTAGAGTGACTGAGAAGCTGAATTCCTCATTTTAATGCATTGGAATTTAGTCACATGTGGTTAGGGGCCACCATATTGGATAGTGCAGCTGTAAAATGGTTAATAAAATGGTAGTATGGATGACATGACTGCTGGTGCGTTTTATGTGGAATGATATGTCTTCTTCCTCACAAAGGGCACTTTCCCTCTGTGCAAGGGTAGCAACATCCTAGAAGCCAGAGAAAAAGCTGTTCCTTCAGTAATGCTATATCCCTTTCACCAACATCTCACTATCTTCATAGGCCACACACAGTGGGTGTATTGATTGATACTGGCATAGACACACTGACTGGTAAAAACTGAAAAAGAATTTTAAATTTAGAACGACTTTTCTCCTCTTCTCTTCTAGTCTGAGTTCAAATCTCTCCTCCCCTGGCAATGTTTGGTGTTCCCTGGACCATCTTGGAGAGCTGAGAACCCTAAAAGCAGCACCAGCCTGCTCACCAGGGGGCAGCACTCGCACCATGAGGTTGTTCACTGGGCTCATCAAGATCTATCCGGCGAGGGTTGTTTTCAAAGGATTGGGAAGAATCGCTTCGGTCCTCCTTTGGAATTTGTTCTTAAGTCTTCTTCCCTTCATCGCTCCTGTTAGATGCTCCACAGCAAGTGAAGAAATGAGGAAACTGATTTCTTTTCCCACATTAAAGCAATGTTAATAAAATGGTCATGGGCACCGGAAAAGTGTTTGCTTTGGTTTTGTTTACGTGATCATTTTTATGATAAAGATAGGAAAGGAAGAGTCCCAAAGCCAAGGCCATTGAGAGGAGATGAGTGGGGATTTCTACTCAAGGATGGTGAGTTGAATGCAGGGGTTAGCCTCCAGGCCCTCCTGAAACCCCACTAAAGCAATAACAGGGGAGGTATTTTGGAAGACATATAAACCTACGGAATGAAGAGAATAGAAGCAATGATAATAGCAATAGAATCTGGAAGTTTGGAAAGCAAATGTAAGTTTGGTAACTGTGATGGTGAATATTAGGTGTCAACTTGATGGGATTGAGGGATGCCTAGGTGGCTGGTAAGGTATTGTTTCTGGGTGTGTCTGTGAGGGTGTTGCCAGAGGAAACTGACATTGAAGTTGGTGGGTTGGGAGAGGAAAACCCACCCTCATGTGGATGGGCACCATCCAACCAGCTGTCAGCTAAGCTAGAGCAGAGCAGATGCAGAAGGAGAAGGTGCTATGAGCTGGCTTGCTGAGGCTTCTGGCCCACCTTCTTCTTCCCATGCCAGACACTTGCTTCTGCTCCTCCCTGCCCTTGGACATCAGACTCCAGGTTCTTTGGCCTTTGGACTCTGGGACTTGCATCAACAGTTTCCCTGAGGGGTCTCAGGCCTTTGGCTTAAAGGTTGCAATGTTGGCTTCCCTGGTTTTGAGGTTTTCGGACTTGGACGGAGCCACTACCAGCTTCTCACTTTCCCCAGCTTGTAGATGGTCTATTGTGGGACTTTGCCTTGTAATCATGTGAGCCAATTCTCCCTAATAAACTCCCTTTTATATATACATACATCCTATTGGTTCTGACCTCTGGAAAACCTGGACTAATACAGTAACTGATGCAGCAGGGTTGAGAAAGCGGAACCATAAGCAGCCAGTGGAGCAAGCTAAAGTCAACCCAGTTGCTCAGAAACTGGTGACACCAGAGACCTATGGAAGTGGGAATCAAGGTGGATCTACAAGCAGAAGGACAGATTAAACATCCTTTAGGTTCTTTGAAGAAGTAGTTAGATCTCCAGCCTTCCTCGCTTATTCTTCAATGTCAGGCAAGAGAAATGTTTGCATTCCAAACATTTAGATCACTGGTCATTTTCCTGATCATGTTGCCAGAATAATGGTAGTAAGGACTATAGCTTCCAGGGGAGAGCTTGTGAAGCCTTCACTGCAGCTCTTCCAATAGTATGAGAGAAAAGACTCATAGATACTGCCATCCAAGATTCCCCAGGGAAACGGCCCAAGCAGGTCGCTGTGCTGAGGCTCAGAGTTGACAAACCCCATGCAAATGCACAGAGCTTACCATCGGCTTTGAGTGCCCCATTCTTCAATACGGGAAGACAGTTAAGGACCATTTGGTACTTGAGAACAGCCTCTAAGGCAGAACCAGAAAAGGTGGAATATAACTCAGAGTTAACATAAGTTATAGAAGCTATGAAGGGAAAAGAAATGTTTAAAAATTACTAATTATTACTATTCTTAGAGAATAAGGAGAAGCTATTGCATCCATGAAATAAGAATAATAATCTAATTTTATTTTTAATTGACAAATGATAATTGTATTTATTTTATGAGCTACAGCGTGATGTTTCAGAGCAAGTATACATTGTGGAATGATCAATTCAAGCTAATTAACATATTCATCACCTCGAATAGTTATCATTTCTTTGTGGTGAGAACATTTAAAATCTACTCTGTTACCTATTCTTAAATATAATGTATATTAACTATAGTCATCATGCTGTGCAACAGATCACCAGAACCTATTTCTCCTGTGTTTGTACACTTTGACCAACATCTCCCCTTTCTCCATTCTCCTTTTCTCCCCGACCCCAGCATCTGACGACTGCCATTCTCCTCCCTATTTCTATGAATTTGACTTTTTAAGATTCAACATATAAATAAGATCATGTGGTGTTTCTGCTCCAAACCAGTTCTCTTGGACTTAGCCAAATGTCCTCCAGATTCATCTATGTTGTAGTAAATGACAGAAGTCCCCTTCTTATTTTAAAGCTGAGTAGTATTGCATTTGTGTGTGTGTGTATAAAATATTTTTTATATTAGGCACTTTGGTTGTTTCCATATCTTGACTATTGTGAAGAATGCTGCAGTGAACATGGAATAGCAGACATCTCTTTAACATACTGACTTCAATTCCTTTGGATATATACCCACAAGTGGGGTTGCTGGATCACATGATAATTCTATTGTTAGTTTTTTCAGGAACCGCCATACTGTTTTCCATAATAGCTGTACTAATTTACATTCCTGCCAGCAATATACAAGGGCTCCTTTTCTCCATATCCTCGCCAATACTTATCTTTCAACTTTTTGCTAATAACCAGTCGAAGATGTATAAGGTAATATCTCATTGTGGTTTTAATTTTCATTTCTCTAATGATTAGAGATGTTGAACATTTTTCATATATCTTTTGCTCATTGTATGTCTTCTTTTGAGAAATGTCTAGGTCTTGGGCCTTTTTTTTTGTTTTATTTATTTATTTATTTATTTATTTATTTGAGACGGAGTCTCACTCTGTCACCCAGGCTGGAGTGCAGTGGCACGATCTTGGCTCACTGTAAGATCCACCTCCCAGGTTCACGCCATTCTCCTGCCTCAGCCTCCCAAGGAGCTGGGACTACAGCGCTCACCACCATGCCCAGCTAATGTTTTTGTATTTTTAGTAGAGACGGGGTTTCACCGTGTTAGCCAGGAAGGTCTCGATCTTCGGACCTCGTGATCCGCCTGTCTCAGCCTCTCAAAGTGCTGGGATTACAGGTGTGAGCCACTGCACCCAGCTGGCCATTTTTGTAAAGGGTTGGTTTCTTGTTTTTCAGTAGTTCAAGTTCTTTATATATTTTGGATATTAGCTCCTTATGCAATGTATAATTTGCAGATATTTTCTCCCAATCTGTAGGTTGTCTCTTCACTCCATTAATTGTTTCCTTTGCTTTGCAGAAGTTTTTAGTTTGATGCAATCCACTTGCTATTTTTGCTTTTGTTGCTTGTGTAAGATACTAATTTTAAACAAACATTCAGAGAACAAACAGAAGTGCTTGGAAACAGGAGAAGTGAAAAAGTTAAGAAAATCTCTCAGGATATGGAGCAAAAACACAGAAAATAGGAGGGAAGAAATAATGAATTTATAGAACCACATCAGAATGTCTAATATCCAATTATGAAAAGTAGATTTAGAGACAATGGAAGGCAATTTTCCAAAGAAGCAATTCATGAAAACTTCCCAGGTATCAAGTTCCTGAATCAAGTTCCCAAGGTATCAAATTTCACAATTGTACCTAGCAGGATGGATGGATGAAAATTGATTCACTGAGACACATCATTGTGAAATTTCATCTTGATGAGAATAAAGAGAAGATCTTATATGTTTCCAGAGAGAAAAAAGATCACATACTTTATACAAAGGATCAAGAATCAGAATGGCATTGGACTTCTCCAAAGCAATGTGGTGAAAGACAACGGAGAAATATTTTACTATTTGAAGAAAAAATATTACTAAAGGCAGAATTTTATACCCAGCAAAACTATTAATCAAATGCAAGGGTACAAAAAATAGGTTTTCAGACATTCTGGGCCTCACACTAAAGCTATTGGATTTTTTTTTTTTTTTAATAAAAAAGGAGTACATTTTAAAAGAGAAAAATGTATGGTCTGGGAAACAGAGACTCCATCATAGAAGGGAGGTGAAGGAAATCTGCACTAATACAATAACTGGATAGTAGACTTACAGAGCAACAATCCAGAAGATTCCAGAAGAGACTGCTTCAAAAAGGTGGAATTATTGTGCTTGAAGGGCACAGTTTGGGGACAAATGATTAAAACAAACAAAAAATTGTCTTTGTTTATAAAAAACAAAATATCTACCCATATGGATTAGAGAAAGTAAGTCAGGTAAAAAACAAAGGCAATTGTTAACCTCAGGGAAAGCATAAGTTGTTCAGAAAAGGGAAAATAAGCATAGTATTTATGGTTCAGCTATTCACAGGATTTACACAATTACAACAATGTAAACATTGTTAAAAAGTAAATTGAAGCTGGTTGCTCCAGCTTACCCCTGTAATTTCAGTACTTTGGGAAGCCAAGGTGGAAGGATCACTTGAGGCCAGGAGTTTGAGACCAGCCTGGGCAACATAGCGAGACCCCGACTATACGACTAATTACAAAAACTTTTTTTAATTAGCCAGGAGTTGTGGTGCACACCTGTAGTCCAGCTACTTGGGAGGCTGAGGCAGGAGGATCACTTGAGCCCAGGACATTAAGAATTCAGTGAGCCATAATCGTGCCACTGTACTCTAGTCTGGGTGACAGAGCAAGACCCTGTCTCTAAAAGAAAAAAAAAGTAAATTGAAGTACAACTTTAAATAATGTATTTGAGCAAACAATGATTCATTAATCAGACAGCTCCAAACAAGGGGTAGCTCAAGACCTCCACCAACAGAACACAAAGCAGGAGACTTTTATAGGACAGACACAGAAGTAGAGCAAAGAAAAATTTGATTGGATATAGTTATCCAGTTGCCTTATTTGGTCTATGCCTGTGTTAGTCCATTCTTGCATTGCTATAAAGAAATACTTGAAGCTGGGTAATTTATAAAGAAAAGAGGTTTAATTGACTCATGGTTCTGCAGGCTGCACAGGAAGTGTGGTACTGGCATCTGCTTCTGGTGGGGCCTCAGGAAGCTTCCACTGGTGGTGGAAGGTGAAGAGGAAGCCAGTGAGTCACATGACAAGAGCAGGATGGCAGCAGGGGAGGAGGGCAGGTGCACACACTTTTAAACAACCAGAGTTCACGTGAACTTAGAGTGAGAACTCACTCATCACCAAGGGAATGGTTATTCGTGAAGGATTTGCCCCCATGATCCAATATCTCTCACCAAGCCCCACCTCCAACCCTAGGGATTACATTTCAACATGAGATTTGGGTGGGGACAAACATCCAAAC